AATGTAGACAAGCAAAGGGGAAAGAGTAAAATTAAACGTAGCTTCCCAGGGCCTGGAAATGTGCACAGTCTACCTGAAGGGCAAGATGTTGGTATCAAATTACTTATCCTGGGCCCCAGAAATTTCTCACTATATATCTGTCCTGAAAAAAGAGTCTCATAGTTGCAAATACACACACAATATTTGATGCAGTATTGTATTGTTTGCCATATGGAAAAAAAAAACAACCCTAGAAACGATTTAGATATCTAGTCATAAAGAGTAAATAAATACAATTCCATAAACACAGGAATTATTTCAAGTGTTCAAAAGAATAAAGTAGATTTACATATATTAACATGAGTCAATCACCAAAATCCCACAAACCCAGATTTTATATTTTTCTCAATATCTAATATTATGACAATGTAAAGAATTTAAGTCTTTCATCAGACAAATTTGTCATGGAGTATGTTCTTAATATTGGTGGGAAGATGTCAGTATGGGTGGGTACTAGAGTTTTCAGGAGACTATGGTTTAATCTGTAATGGTCTAAATATTTTTAATTATGACTGGCTTATTTATTGTTTACATAAATTTAAAAATAAATATGTATAAATAGTGAAAAAAGATAAGAAGAAAATATGCCAAAAATGTTGACAGTGATTGATTTGGAGAGGGGCAGGGTATGAGTGATTATTATTTCCTTCTTCACACATTCCTACTATTTAAAAACATTTTTCCAAAGAGAAAAATAGTCCAAAATAGTCACCATTATCCAATAATCCAAATTCATAAAATCCAAGGTTATGACACTAGATATCAAGTTAAACTTGGTCTTAAAAAACGTACTTGACCAGATCTTTAAAGATTATATTTGTGAATGCCTAGTTTGCACAGTATGCTTTATTCAAGGTTAGTGCATTACAGTTTACGGAATGCTATAGTTTTGCAAACACATCTCATTTAACTCTTATTTTAACCCTGTGAAGTGGACATTATTGCCTCCATTTTCAGGCAAGAAAACCGAGGTTTCAAGAAGGCAGGCAATTTGTTGAAGTTCACAGTTACAAAGTCATAGAGGTGATAGCTCAACATGTTTTGTTAATGTTTCTCCACCATACTCCATTAAATGTTAAAGTTAATGTTTCTCCACCATACTAAGCTACCACAATACAAGCATATTATATTTTTACAAACTATAAAGCTGCTTCACTGCTAAATGAATTTGAAATCTAAGGGAGAGATCAATTAAACACATTTTAAAAATACAGCCAGGTGGGTGTGGTGGCTCACACCTGTAATCCCAGCACTTTTTGACGCTGAGGTAGGAGGATTGCTTGAGGCTAGGAGTTTGAGACCAGCCTAGATAACATAGCAAGACCCCATTTATACAAAAATAATAAGAAAAAGAAGAAGAAGAAGAAGCAGAAGCAGCAGCAGCAGCAGAAGAGGCAGAATATTAGCCAGGCGTGGTGGCATGCACCTGTAGTCCTAGCTACTCAAGAGGCTAGGGTGAGAGGATCGCTTGAGCCCAGGAGTTGGAGTCTGCAGTGAGCTATGATTAGGCCACTGTACTCTAGCCTGGACAACAGAGTGAGACCTTGTCTCTAAAAAAACAATTTTAAAAATAGACATTTTACACACATACATGCATCTAAATACAGTAGTTAAGCCAACCTATTTGAGAGAATATTAGTTGTTCTAAATAATGCTGGTGCATAGAAAACCATTTTGCACAAAATAAAAATCCTTTTTTCTAACCTTACCTTTTTACATAGTGTGATGAAGGAGCATGGAGTTCCACAGGCACAACTTTGTTAGCTAGAATGGATTAGCAGGATATTCAATTCACCCTAGCCTGAGACAATGAGAATTTATTGCCTAGCCTTAACTAGTTTCAGGCACATCTGCATCTAGGGTTCAAAAGATGTTGTCAGATTTCTCTCTTTTCTCTGTTTTTTTTTTTTTCTTCTGTAGTATCTTCATTTTTAAGTATGCTTGGGGCAAGTGGCAGTATTTATAACTTTTAAGTTCTCCATGTTTCCATGGCTATATAATACTTTCTTGTGATTTCTAAAAGGAAAGAAACCCTTTTACCCTGTATGTGAGTTCTACAGAAACAAGTAAACCATACCACAGCAATCTGTGTAGTTGGTGGGATGGGTCAGCCCTGGGTTTTTGTTATTAAATATTATCCCTTTATCCTCAGAAGGGGTGCACTCAATCCCACTCAAACCAAAAGAATTAAATTGGATTATTAGAAAATGGGTGAAGAAAGGTTAACCAAAGGAATTCTATGCAGACAAAAAAAAAAAAAAAAGACACCACAGGTCCAGAATGCAGTCACAGCTTTGACAATACAAGTGTGTAACCACTGGAAAGCCAGTAGGCTTTTTAACCTACAGAGGAGGGTTAACATTCATAACAGCTACCTCACAGGACTCTCCTGAGGATTAAACAATAGCTGGAGACAAAATGTACCTAACATAGCATCCTACAGGTAGAAAGTGTCTTATAAAGTTGTGCTCCTAATTGAATAATCAAAGGCAGAACGATTCTGAGCTACTTGTATCACCAGAGACTTTATCAATGAATTAGCAAGTCCAACTGAACAATAGAGCAATTTCATTGGATGTAAAATAGAATTGTGAGCCTGTCTCACGATTGTGTTCTTTTTAAGTCTACTGAGGGCCAGGATTTTCAGTAGAGGCTGTGTGAACTGGGAGTAGTAACCACAATAATAAAAACTTCAATAACCAGCACGTATTACGTGCTGGCCATGTGCCAAGTAGGCAGGTAAGTGTATAACATGCATTTTTTCCTGTAATCTTTACCATAACTAATAAAGTAGATGTTAGTATAATTTCCATTTCACAGATAACAAAACAGATGTGGCAAGGTCAAGTAATTTGCCCAAGGTGAAGTTTGCGACTAAGTTTGGACTCCCATTCGAGTGTGTTCGATTCCAGAGCCTGAGCTCTTCACCGCGCATTGTTCTTTTTCATCCTGCCCTGCATGGCCTCACAATACCCTGAGGAGAAGACTCAACATGAAATAGCATTTGGCTGCATTCCAATCAGTCAACACATTCATCACCAGACGCACAAAGAGAGCAGGTAGGTTGGATTCCCTATGCTGAACAAAACAATACAGGCAAATACATGCACTGACCTCTAACTTGATTTGGAGATTTAGCAACTCCATCTTGAAGACTTTTTCTAACATCTCAGCTGCTGTATTTAATGGGACCTTTTGTTGATGAACCCAAGATGGAACAAAGAGCATTTATTTATCTTTCTAGGTTCTTTTTCTTTATATTTTTAAATATTTAACCATAATGGTTCTGGGGCTATTTCTCATTGAAAAAATTATGGAGCTATGAGCTGATTCGGGGAAGTGTTGAGACGCTGGGCACAGATGGCTTTAATTATTTGGGCAGCCATTGACAGATGTGATGGTCTAGGTTTCTGCTGCCTTGGACAGGTGTAAGCTATAGGATTTACCCAGAGGGAGTTGTGGAGAGCCAGAATTGGATAGAGCCCTGTGATGGCCGCTTATTTTGTCTTAATCCACCCCTAGGTACATAGTTATCATATTTCTTTGCCTCAAGGCATGGTCAAGTCAGTCAAACCTATCAAACCAAGTTTGTGTGCAGAAAAGAAAATCTCAAAGAGAGAAATACACTGTTAGCAAATGATCTCAAACCCTGCTCAGTGTTTTCACTCAGAAGCCTTTCTTTTTTCATTAATTATGGCTTCGTAATCAAAAGGATATATGTTTACATTCATCCTTTTGGATCAAAATAAGCACAATTAACTTCTCCAACTGTAGTCCGCACAAATAATTTCAAAAAATTGAATGTCCTGTGAAAACCTCCATTATTTTGTTCAACAAAGATTTTTTGAGCAAGTTATGGAGGAGAGGCAGACACACTCTCTGCTCTGCAGGAGTGAGTACATATTGGTAGGAGGGTGCAGACCTTACAGGATAAGAACAATAGAGTCAGTACTTACTATATCAAGGCTCTGTTCTAGGCTCTACGGATATAGTGGTGATCAAAATAGTCTTTTTCTCCAAGGAGCTTCCATTCTAATTGGGAAGAGGGACAATAAAAAACCATTTCTTTCTCTATCCGTGTGTGTGTATGCACACACATACATATACAATTGTGTATATATGTATACACCTGCATGTACATGCATATGCATATATGTATGTGTATACATATATTTATACATACACGTGCATGTGTATATATCTGAATGAGATGGGATGGATGTAGTATTCTAAATATGTAAGAAATTGCACCTAGCAATATATGTGAGTTCAACAGGAACTCTGCAGAGGAGATGGCATTTAAGCTGGACTGAATGGATGTAAGAGGCAGATCACACAGTGGAAAAATAGAGGAAGGTATTCCAGGATCTCTAACTCTCAGTTTTAAAAAGCAGAGTTATGACCTGAAATGAGCTGGATTGTGTCCCCACTGCCCCCAAATTCATATTTTGAAGTCCTGACCTCAGAATGTAACTGTTATTTGGAGACAAGGTATTTAATGAGGTGATTACTTTAAAATGAAGCCGTTAGGGTGGGCCCTAATCCAATGTGACTAGTGTCATTGTAGGAAGAGGAAGAGACACCACCAGGGATACCCTCACCCAGAGAAAAGGCCATGCCACAGAGAGGAAGGTGCCACCTGCAAGCCAAGGACAGAAACCAACTCTAACAACACCTTGATGGTGGACATCCAGCCTCCAGAAATGTGGGAAAATAAATTTCTGCTGTTGAAGCCACCTGGTCTGTGGTGTTATGTTACAGTAGCCTTAGAAAATTAAGACAATGCCTCCTATTCAGATTGAAAGGAGAACAGTATACACCTAGTGCAGAGAAAGCTTTCAAAAAATATTTACTACATTAAAATGTCTGCGAGGTACAAAGCTGACCATACTGATGATGGTTAAGGCACAACATCCGCAGTTATCTAGTTTAATTCAACAGTCCTAAGATGGAGACATTACCGTTCTTATTTCATCCAGGAGGAAACTGAGGCTTGGCGAGCTTCCCTGAGTTGTCCGGTGTCACTTGCTGGTCACCGAGCGTGCATCTCTGGATCCAGATGGCCCGATGCGACAGCACATGCTCTCAGCTCCAGCACTCTGGGGAGTGGTAGGAGATGGCACAGAAGGAGAGGGAAGGTCAGCTCACCGAGGGCCGCGGTTATAGCTGCGGGGGCTGAATTCTCAGGAAGGGAAAACCTCAGGAAGTCAGTAACCGGAAAACCTGTTATGTGATTACCTATATTTACTCAGACCGACTCTGAAGTTATTCACAATCCGTGCACACAACTCACCCCCCTGTACCTCACGTAGATACAGCCCTCCCAACCACTAATCTCCCCCCTTGTGTAACACACATATGCACACACACACACTCACGCACTCACTCGCCCCAAACTCCTCAGACAATACAACTTTTTAAGAAGTCCTTTGAAGAATGCCTTAAAGGATTTGAATCAATAATCTCCTCAGATCCTAAACTGGATCTCCCCAGTTTGCTTTTTAATGATATCTCCCCACTCGGCAATCACAACTGCTTCTTACTGTTCACTCCTAGCTAGTCAAGTCTATTCTTCGCGCAGCCCATAGAGTATGTGTGTTTTTTAAATAAAGAAACAGACATGGAATTAAGTCTCGCTGTCCCATGTGCTTCATTATCCTGGCTTGTTGGGAATGTGTTAAACATCCAGTGTGAGTTTTCATAAGTAGCAGAAAAGGATCAAAGGAACCTACTTTACCAGAGGTTTTTCTTTTCTCTCTCTCTCCCTTTCTCTCTCTCTCTCCTATTTTTTTAAACTGAGGTTTGGGCGATTCAAATCGCACTAGGTAGTTGAGCTGATAAGATATGGGAGGAGAGAGCTCCAGCAGTAGTTTTTATTTCAAGAAAAGAAAACTTTTTTAAGTCATAAAATGTTCTTAAGTGTCTTTGATTTTTTTTTTTTTCTCAGCTGAATTGCAAACCTGGAATTAGAAGACGTTTTGAAAAAATATGCTTGATGTTAACCCTAGGTAGATATATAAATAGAGTGAATTGAATGAACTTATTATATGTAGCCCAAAGATGACACTTTGCTATGCTGCTGAGATTTTACATACCAAAAACTTTAAAACTTTAAATGGACTACTTAAAATTACTTTCTCTACTGTATATGTGTGAGTGTATATAGTCCCTTTAATAATAAAGTTTTTGCATTTCACTTCTGCAAAACCTTGAAATGCTCATTCCTAGGAGACAGTGCAATAGACCTTGGATTGGGAGGATCTGAATAAATCACCCTGAGATGAGACATAATGTCAAGTTCATGGAGAAACAGACTTGCTCATTTGATCCTATCTTTGTGACACAGATGGATCTTGTTTCTTAACTTTTGGATTTCCCTAGCCTAATTGAGTTTCCAAAGATGAGACTAGAATCCATAAGATCTCAAACTGAGCAGAGAGCACACGTTTGTAATAATGACTCCTGGTAATCTGGTTTATGTACAGGACTTTAAGACATTTTCCTAGGTAATAATTTATTTTAAAACATTACTTTTGCAAATCTGGTTTTGCTGAATAAAAATCTATTCCTTTTCTCCTTTAATTTTGCAGCTATTATTGTGGTGTCATTTTCATCCAAAACGTTTCTGAATATTTGCAGATTCATACGTCTTTGATATGTATCAGTAGACACTTTTCTTTGTGTGACATCAGTAAAATGCTTAAAATTTCCAATAAAAACTCAATGAAAAATATTTGGGTATGAAAAAGGTCATGGATAATTATTATACTTAACAGATTTTTTAAAATTTTCATTTATTATTTTATGCATACTTTAAAAAGTGATAATCAGATTGTGCCACAATTTTTGTATCTTGCTTTTATAGCTTAAAAAGATTAAAGGTTTTTTATATTATAATCATCAAATATTTTACTTTCTAAATCTATGTTAGCCGTTATTTATACACAATAAGACTCACTCATTTTAAGTGTAAAGATTTTTGACAAATATATATACTCATGTAAACATCACCCAAGTCAAAATGTAGAATGTTCCTATCAATCCCTTTACAGTCAATACTTTCTGTTCCCAACCCTGATTAACTACTGGAATGCTGTAGTATAGTTTTTTGCCTTTTCTAGAATTTCATATGAATGGAACCATACAATCCACATGTGCCTGGCTTGTGTGTCTGGCTTCCTTCACTGAACATATCGACTTTAAGATTCATCCTTATTGTTGTGTCTCAGAAGTTTGCCACTTTTTATTGACAAGTAGTATACCATTTTATGATTATACACCCATTTGTTTATTCATTCAGCTATTGATAAACATTTGGGTTGTTTCCAGGCTCTAGTTATCATTAATAAAGCTGCTATGAACATTCTTGTACAAGGTTTTTTTGTGTGTGTGTGGACATATGTTTCTATTTTTCTTGAGTAAATACCTAGGAGCGGAATTGCCAAGTGGTAAAGTAAGTGAATGTTTAACTTTTCAAGAAACTGTCAAGTTGTTTTCTAAAGTGGCTGTATACTATTTTGCACTCCCCTCCAGCAATGTATGAGAGTTTAATCCCTCCATATTCTAGCCAACATTTGCTATTGTCTGTCTTCTTAATTTTAGTCATTCTGGGGGATGTGTAGTGATTTGCCATTTTGATTTTACTTATGTTCCTTGATAGTAAAGTTGAGAATATTTTCACATACTTAGTGGACATTTGTATATCTTCATTTGTGTCTGTTCAAATATTTTGTCCTTTTGTATTTGGTTGTTTATCTTCCATTATTGATTTGTAAGATTGCCACATATATTCTGGAAATAAGTTTTTTGTCATATATATAGAGATTTTGGATCCTTTTGAGTTATTTTTGTATATAACATAAAGGTCAAGATTCATTTTCCCCCATATCCATATCCAATTGTTCTTATCTAGCTTGTTAACAAGATTATTCTTTCCTCATTGAATTACCTTGGCATATATGTGTGACTATTATGGACAATTTATTCTGTTCCACTGAGCTATATATATATATTCTTTTGTTAATACCATGCAGTTTTGATTACTGTAGCTTTATAATATATTGTGAAATCAAGTAGAATAAGCCCTATAAGTTCTTTTCCCAAATTGCTTTGACTATTGCATTTTCTGTACTTCCATGTTAAATTTTAGAATAATTTTTTTCTAATCCCTTTTTTTAAAAACCTGCTAGGATTTTGAATGGGATTTTGTTGAATCTATTGATCAAGTTGGAGGAATTGACATAATAGCATTGAATCTTCTAATACTGAAATTTATATCTTTCTATATTTAGGTCTTTTTAATTGATCTCAGCAATGTTTTGTAGATCTTAGTGTATAGCTCTTGAACGTATTTTGTTAATTTTGCCAGTAAATAGTTCCTGCATGAAATCAGTTTTAATTGCTGTACAATATTCTGCTGAGCTAAAGTGTTGTTATTATTCAACCATTCTACCCACTTTTTACTATATGGAACATTTACAGTTTTTATTCTAATATAATTAATATGGTAATAAACATATTTTTGTATTTAAAATTAGTTTCTTCATACACATTTCCAGAAGAGAAGTTACTAAGTCAAAGGGCATGAACATTTCTCAGATTCTTGATATATATTGTGTAACTGTTTTTTCTTGAAAAATGAATTACAGAAGCTTTCCCAGACATTCCACTTTTTTCTCCACTGTAGCCGACATAAACAGTCATTATTACATAACCTCAAAGAAACATAGAGGAGGGGAGAAAAAAATTAAATCTCTTTGTAAAAAGAAATAAAACACATGCATTTTTCTCTCACCAGCAGAATGAAAGATCAAGCCAAGTCATCGAAGATGATGAGTTTAACTACTAAAATAGATGGGTTTGTTCTGATAAGTAACACTTCCTGGGCCTCTGTGTTCTCATCTACAAAATGAGATTGCTAGAAGTACTAGTGGTTTTCAAACTCTGCTCTGTAAAACCTCAGGGGTTGGGAGGGGATACGTTGTGATAAGAGCCTGAGCTATCAGTCCCTGGGCCTCTCAGCATCTCTCCATGCAGAGAGCGTCTCATTGGTCAGTTTTGTGTAAAGCAGACCTTTATCAGATTTGTTTTTAAAATAAGCATTCACTAATAAAAAATAAACAGTTTGGAAAAGCATTGAATTAGATAAGTTTTCCAGTAGTGAAGTATTTCATTTGAAGCTACATCATCTTCTAGTGGGCTCATCTACGTAAGCAGCAGCCCCGGGGAACGGGGATTCCATACTGCCAAATACGTCACAAATGCCCTGCGCATCCCGTTTCCAGAACACAGCTGTTTCTGGACCTGTTCCAGAAGACACTGGAATCAGAATTCAGATTCTAATTCAGAGTTCTGGCCACCTTCTGTTACATGCCAGGTGCCCTGACTGCATTTGAACACACGTTTTTTTACTGAATCCTCCCAGGAGATCCGTGTTATTGTCACTGCTTTGCAGATGAGGAAATGGGAGCTCAGCCTAGTAAGCAATGGACTTGAGACCTGAACTCGGGTCCCCTGACTCTGTATCACCTCTATCCCCACAGCCGGTATCCCTGATTTGTGAGCAGGGCCTTGGCAGAGTTCCAGCACCAGACGTACCTTGCTAACTAGGTCGAGGGATAAGGACAGGTGAAAAGCTCACAGATTCAAAGGGAGAAACCAGGACTGTAACCCGCTTCCATGAGGCCTTCGTGTCAAGAAAATCAGAGCGCAAACTGACCATTTGAAACCTGACTCTGCTCTTTATTTGTTTTGTGACCTTGGGACAATTCTTTAACTTCTCTGAAACTCAGTTGCATAAAACGAGAGCAGTAAACCTCGTAGGGTTTCCGTGAGGATTAAATGAGATGATGGATATGAAAACGCCTGGCTCAGAGTCTACAGATAGAAAGTGCTCACACCCACAGTACCACATGGGCAAAGCACGGACACATCCTCAGCTGCAGCAGTTCTGAATCAGGCCCTCAGCAGACACAAGAGAAGAGAAAGGAATGAGGGCCAGGAAAATAAGATTATCGTTTCTAGGCAACCATGGAAAAAGGAATAATGTAAGGGGCATATCTCATAAGGGTGCTATATTGGCTACCTCACAGAAAGACTCCCTGTCAGGTTTTAAAAGTAGGATACAACCATCAATGTACATAGAGAGCCTTTTAATAATTTATAATTCTTCGAAATTCTTGTCAACAATTCTCATTCTCTCTCTCCACTGTCTTTTTTCCTCTCTCTTCCTCCCTCTTTCTCTCTCCTAATTCTCAAAGTAGCCAGGGAGGAAAATAGGAGAAATATTTTGACTCCAATTTTATAAATGATCCAACTGAGGTTCTGAGAAAACTGAGAAAATAATGCAGTATAGTCATCCACTTGGGGCTCACAGCCCCCCTGGGCTGAAATCTCATGGAGGCCAAGATCTATACCTTATTCTTCTTATATATCTTCCCAAAAGGTCCTCTGAAAACAACTAACTGAAATGGATTCGTCTAAGCCTTGCTCAATCGGGAGCCTCAGCCATTTTGTTCCGAAGCAGAATTTCAGACTACATTTCAAGGTCACAGATGCTGTGGAAAGCTTCTTTACTTGGCATGAATCCATTTAGGAATAACTTATTTTAAATGTCTTGGTACATTGTCATGTCCCACTGCTAATCCATTCCTTCTATTTTTTTTTCTAATTTCTGAATAATGCATACATGTTTTTTTTTTTTTTCAAGTGAGAAATAGCCCAGAAAAGGAAAAAAAAAAAAAACCACTGATTAAAGATAAATTTTCATTTTACAAAAGAATGTTGATGCTAGCTCATTCTCCTGATTGGCTGTAAGTTGCAAGTACAATTAATTGACCTTGGACATGACATGTTTTAAAGCCAGAATGGGTGAAATTTTACTGGGGGCATATTTATCTCAAGTTGAAATGCAACTTGCTGTCTCAGAATATTATCTCAGTCTGGTATTATCTCTGATTGAAGGCAGGAAGTGTTGTCCTGCCTATTAAAAATGTACTTCATTTGGACCCAAAATAAAAATATGTCAAATGCTAAGAGACCCATATTTGAACCTTGATTCCCCAGATTTACAATGTCCCATTATGAATATCACTAAAAGTGCTCTGTACGTACAGATAAAACAACCACTCTTCCTCCTTCCCCAGCTTGTGAAAATTAAGATAATGCCTCAGAACACTGACTTCCTTAGAAGAAAGGCCTTGCTAGGTAAAAGTGGAGACTCCCCTGGATCCTTGGTACCACTGATCCTCACCACTAAAGTCGTAAAAATAGGACCGAGAAGACATGTTTTGCTTCCGACGATTTGAGGATTGCATTTTCCAACCACCTTTGAACCTTTTGATGTCCAAATTCCTCACTGGCAAGCATTCCAAAGCCTTGCAGGGCTCCTGAAATCTGAGAAGTCTCCTCACTCGGAGACATGTTGAGCTGAGCTGAAGGCTCACAGATGTGGCCGCAGTCTGGCTCCCGGTACTGAATGGGGAGGACCACAGTAAATTATTTAGAGCTCTCTCTCTGCTTTGCCCACCCCAAGGCCTCCTTCTGTTCCAGGCCCCCTTCTTTTACTTCTCTGGGGAGAGGGTTTGGCAACCAAGAGGGCTTTCTCACCTCCAGCCTTTTCCAACAGGGGATGGATGCATCTTCCCGGCCCCAGCCCCACCATGGGGGCGGTGCTGACAGCCTTTCTTTGACTGTGTCACTCACAGCTGGAGGAGAGTCCAGCCTGGAGATAAATCTCTCACAGCTTGCTCATTCTTCTCCAGGAGGCTGTGAGGAGAATGATCAATGCAGTGCTAGGAGGCTAGTTTGCTCAGTGAACCACAGAGAGAGAAAGAGAGAGAGAGAGAGGGAGAGGAGAGAGATTACAAAGAGCCCATTTAAATACCTAAGACCCCTCAGCTCCCTCCTCCTAAGTCATATACTTGCACTAAAAATTTCATCGGATGGATCTACAAATGATGACCTCAGGGAGACAGCTAGCAAAGCCAAAAATGTATAATTCTGGGAGATGACCCAGGCAGCTTCCTGAAAATAAAGCCTTGTATACATTTCGAAGAGGGTGCCTCTCCACCTTAATTGCCTGAGCTGCCAGTTGTTCCATCCGATGGAAAGCAAGCCCTGGGACAAATGAGACTGAGAGATTAGCAGGACATTACTGGGGCAGTGACAGGTGCAAGAAGACTAAAATTCATTTGCTGAGATGCTGAACTCCCGCTGCAGCCCCCAGGCTGGCAACGATTCTCTCTCTCCAAGAACCCAAAGGTATTTCTGGAGTGGCGGGTCATTTTACACAAGCCAGAAGTCTTTGTTGAGCTTTTTTGTGTTGTGCCCTGCGTTCACTGTGCATTCCAGGAGTTAGCCTGTCTCTACGGCAACTGGCCACTAATCTGGCCTGCCTTTATTTCTCTTTAATAGATAGCCTGGAAGAAAGGTTGCAGGCTGCGTCTCTTCCATGCCCACAGCCTACTGGAAACAACAATCAGTAGGTACTATTACGACATATCCTGTCTATAACGCTTGGCGCATGCCTCGTAATTGGCTCCCTTGCTACCAGTTTCTTCTTTTGCAATTCACGTTCCTTCTACCCTAGCATCACAGTGATCATTTCAAGCTCAGACATAATAATATTTTTCTTCTCTTAAAAACACTTGGTGGCTTCCCACCACCTATGGGATGAATCTAATTCTTCGGTAGGCACCAAATAAAAACTGCTCTAGCATCCTGGGTTATGCTGTGAAAAGGACGTAGAGCCACAGCCAGCCCACGACGGACACATAAAGCCAGTGAGAAATGAACCTTTATTGTCGTCAACCTCTGACATTGGGCTTCATGTGTGACCTTGGCCAAACTGAGCCTAAGCTGAGTAAAACAGTGAGGTGACTCTGAAGTCAACTTGTTTGAGACATAAAATGACATTAAGGGAATGATTAAGGGCCAATAGTGTCTTCAAGAAAAAATGTTTTTAAACAATACACATCTAAGTTCAAGCCTGTTCAATGCCTCCATAGCACTAGTAATTCGAGTAATGGACAATGGAAATCTGACTCCTTCATCATGATTCAAAATGCTTTAGCTTGATAGTTCCCCTATATCTGAGAGAAAAAACTAATGTGAAAATCTGAGAAACAACCCAGGATCCCAATATATGATGTGGTTTCAATGACAAGGAAAAAGATTTACATTTAAAAATGTCTACTAGGCATCAAACACTACTGGAGCTTTATATATATGCATACACACATACACACACACATACACACATATACACACAATGTACACATATAGACACGCATATATTATATATTATATATATATGTATGTGAATGACAGGGCTATCAGCCTGAGCCCAAATGGGATTCAGATATGTCTCGACACATCTGACAAGTATGGGGCAGGTCTGCCCGATGCCTTTTTGCACAAAGGCATGAGGAGTTTCCTGGGCGAGAACTCAGGGAAGAGGCAGCCAGCCCAGTGTCAGGCACTATTACTCTGAAGTTGGCGTGGTGGCTATTGGATTTTCCTCCATGCACCGGCCCCATAGGACTCATCACACACAAGTCCTGTGGAACGAGGAAGCTAAAGGAGACACCTAGTTATTGCCATCATAAAGGTCAGCTCTGCAAGGGATGGAATGGGACACAAAGCAGAGAGAGGGACTTTCTTTTCTACTTTTCCTGAGAAAGTCTCTAAAGCCCCAGGCCCTATCTGCTTTCGGTTATTTGCCCATTGTTAGTGACACCCAGAAAATGCCCTGCTGGAGACAGCGCATTGATAATGGTGCCAGGAAGGAGATACCCCTGAAGATAACCATAAATACTTAAAAAGTTGTTGCATTGTGATGAGGTCACATGTACACAAGAGGCCCAAAGCTGTAGAACCACCATTACTACTGCTGACCTCATTAACATTATGACCTCATTAATATCCACCCGGTCAATCAACAATTATATTTCCAGTACCCAGTCTATGCAAAGTACTGTGTTACATGCTGAGCAATATTTGTGAGCAATATTTCTTGATCTTAAGGAGCTAGTCTCTAGCCCACCACAGGCTGACAATGCTGGAAGAAATTCCATCTCATCTGAAATTATTTCATTTAATCCTCATAGTAATTCCCTGAGGGAGATTTTTATCTTCTTTACAAAAGAAGGGAAACTGAGGCCCAGAGAGGTTAAGTAACTTGCCTAAGATAACACAGCTTATAAATATTAGACAAGCAAGTCAGGTAAGACTGGAACCATTATCAATGCAAAACAGTATTCCTGCTTATTACCAACAAAACAAAAGATAAAGAAACAAACAAAAGCAACTCTGCAGACCTTTTTTCTATGCTGCTTTGGTGGGACTATGTCACCAGTCCTTTCTCCCGGGGGGAGAAAACAGCAGCTGTCAGAGGCTGCCCACCTTGCTTTGCCCCTAGCTTGTTCTCTAGTAGCTTCTGCGATTTTTTCCCCATGCCAACTCGAGCCTCAGGAGTAATCAAATCAGTAACTGATATTCAGAAAGTAGGTATAGGCTTAGCTGAAGTGGATTTTGTATGTTAATTAAGTGTTTTATGGAACCTCTGAGATCTCAGATGACACTCGGTAAATATTCCTTACTGAATCCACAGAATCTGTGAGCGGGTTCTGTATAATAAAGCAATTTCAATGTCCTGACAGATGGGCCATAGAAATTGGCTGTGTGGCTGTGATTCCAAAAGATTATATACAATGAAAACTCTGGACAATAAGTGCTTTCTCTGATTGTCGTTTGTATACTGGTTACTTTCTAGAAGGGAAGAACTCGACTGTTTTCAGTTTTTGTATGACAGGCAGAAGAGGGGTTCTGAGTTGTTTGCAGTTCTTTTGTCCTGGCATTAAGTAAAAAAAAAAAAAAAAAAAAATGTACCTCCCAGTTCTGCTCCCTGGTTCTTGTATGAAATATTCAGCCCACTAAAAGCTATTTGTAAAACATTTATCAAAAGGGTAGGAGTGATGGCTTCCCCTTCTCCTCTCCAGCTCAGAGCCTTCTTTTACCCTATGATTTCTCTGTAGAGAGACTGATCCATGTTCTGCTGTACCTTTAGCTCTTTCAGATCAAGATTGCAAATTCTTGGAATGAGTTCATGTACATAAACACCCAATATGTGCACATGTACACATAGACACACACACACAATCAATTCAGGAATTTTAAGTTTGTGATATTAAACATATTTATTCAGATACATGAATACCCACTAAGCAAAATATTTTTATGACATCAACATAGAGATTTTTTAAAATTTGAACAGAACAAATCTAGGCTTTTAATCTACGAATTCTGCCTCTCTTGGACAACTGTGTTAGAGAATTAAAGTTATAATTTTCTTTTTGCTACCTTACCTTCATCAGAAGTCATCATCCTCTCCCTACAAGGGCCGGTGTGTGCTCAAATGATGAAAGGAACCTTGTGCAGTCCCACAATTAGATAAAGGCAAAATTGCCTATGGAAATGACCGAACCCTTAATTAGCTAATTGCAGGTGCAATTGGCCACTTGCACCATCAGATGAAGGGCAAGTGGTTAATTGAGCCCACAAGTGACCTACTCAATCAGAACTAACAAATGGCTCGTCAGATGAGGTCCCAGCCAAAATGTGTCTGCAAACAATAGCATGTGCAAAAAATGCACAAATCAGAGGCGGCCATCAGGCTGCCATCTAAAAATGAAACCCACAAAACACGAGATAATTAGGAAAATAATCAAAATCAGGAAAATTCGGTAATGAACCATGATCATGGGGAAAGTGAGGGAGATAAGTGATGCAGCAATTTGGGGAATCAAAGGCCATAGATGCTGGAAAGAGCATCTGCTTTGAGTCATCCTTTTTCATTCCTATTTAAAACTTAGAGGAAAACTCGTCACTTTCTCTCATGGTAGTTTCTTCTTTATAGAGGGTTTCCAAAGAGCTCAGCACAAAATCCTGTACGGAACAGGGGTTTGGGAAATACAAATGAATGAATGAATGACACTATATTTGCACATAGAGAACTAAGAGCAAAGGTACATCCATTTCATTAAATTGAGAGTGCTGAAAAGTTTCTGTTGAATTTCCGCAATACTGAACAATTTTGCTTTGACTGTGTGGCTACCACGCACAATTCAGAAGGCATTTCCTAATTTGGTGGTAGAAGGAAATACCAATGATTATGAAGATGTTGATAGAAGTGATAATATTAATAATAGTTTGTGTTCATCAGGATAGGCTGTGCTAAGGTAGAAACCGCAAAATCTCAGTAGCCAAAACAACAAAATTTCTTTCTTGCAAATCCATTCTAGATAAGCCTCTTTGGGTTATTACTCCTTTTCACCAATAAAGATTTTTTCACTCTGTGATTCAGCTGTCTCGAAAAGAGGCCTTGGCAAAGGACAGAACAGCACAGAACTGTGCAAAGTAAGTGAAATAGAGCTTTTCACTGATTCAGCCTGAACATGTCTTCTGCTCACATGTTATCGGCCAGAATTAGTCTTGTGTTCTTGCCTAACTGCAAGGACTGGGGAGAACAAGCTTCCACCTGCTGAGAAAAAAGAAGATCTGAAACAGGGTTGGTGAATCTATAGCATTTTGTCCATCACAGACTCCAAAAACAAAGAAGAATAAAAAATAATCTGTCCATTTGGAAATTTAAGCATACCCCTTGATAGAATGCTA